CACCGGGCCCCGGTACCTCCTGGAGGAGATCCAGCTCCTCCGGGCTGAGGTCCCGGTCGATGGAGGAAATGCTTTCCAGGCTGTTCTTGTGGCCCATGCCGGCCGCAAACGGATTGGCAATGATCCCCGGGGACATCTGCGAGAGGAGGAGGAGGAGGAGGAAGGCGGCGGCCGTCATGAGGCACTCAGCTGCCAGCCCGGCGCGAGGAAGGGGCACGCTGCCGCCCAGCCCACGACTCACCTCCAGGGCAGCCACAGCCTTGGGGTCAAACCCCTCACAGACCAGCACCAGGAGAGGGTCGCAGACGGCACGCAGGATCTGGACCGCTTCGGCATGGGTCATGCCCAGCAGGCTCTGGTGGTTCACCTCCAGGATGCGCATGCCCACTTTCAGGCGGCCGTCGCGGGCGGCGGCACCGACAGAGCTGACCTGCAAGGTACCGGATGCCCCGGCAGGAAGCAGCCATGCCTGAGGGCGGGTGGCACGGAGGAAAGGGGCCCACAGACCCACCGAGGGGGCACTCGCAACGCAGAAATGAGCCCCCACCCCACACACACCCCGGGCTACTCGCTTGCAGTCTTCTGCCCACGGGGTCATGACTCAGCCGGGAGCCGCCTCCTCCACCACCACCACCACCCCGGCCTGCCCGCCTGCCAGGACCCAAGCCAGCACTGCTCAAGGAACCCGAAGCTGCCAGGGCCTGGGACACAGAGTCCAAGCACGGCCCACGGTGGCCCCGAGGGCCCTCCCCTCCCCTCCCCTGCCCGAGGCCGCACCAGCCCTCCCACCACCGGCAGGAGCCCCCTTCCTTCTCCACACAGCTGAAGGGAGGAGCGGGAGAGGCCGGCCTCTGCTGGGCTCTCTGCCGCTTTCCCTTCCTTCCCGCAAGCAACCCTGGAGGGTCAGAAACTCCCTCGCTCCTTCCTCAAAGCAGAAGGCACGACAGGTGACTTGAGGCGGAACGGCAGAGCCCACTGACCTTTCCAGTCCCAGCCACACGGCCTGGACTCTGTCCACGGCCCCACCGCCACGGCCACTCTGGGCAGACGCCCCTCAGCGACACTGCTGGGGGTGGGGGGGCGGCTGGGGGCCTCGCCAAGGAAGGGAAGGCAAGAGAAGCGGGGGGGGGGGGCCCTCCTTGGAGATAAAGATGCCCTCGTCCGTGGGGTCAAAGGGGTTCCCTGCGTGGCCCTTGGCACCGCCGCGGATGCTGATCCCGAGTTTTTCCCCAGGCCTCTTCTCAATGCAGATTTCCTGCCAATGCAAAGAAAAACGGGGAGGCTGGGCAGACTGGGAGATCCAACGGTCTCTTGGCAACACCGGCCTCTGCGGTCTGGCCTAGGCATCCCAAGGCTTGAGCCTGGCACCTTCTTCAAGGCACGCTCAGAAAGCTCAGAGAAGGGGGTCGTCCCCCACCAACCCTCTCTCTGTCTACCCAAAGCGGAGAGGAAGGGAGAAGAGCGGCTTCTGCCCGGAGGGCACCAGGCCTCAGGGGAGCCAGAGGAAGTCCGGGCCTGTGCGAAGCGGCTTCTCTCCTCTCCCCGAGTCTGTCTCCAACCCAGTGGGAAGCAAAGCTCCCCCCCCCCAACGGGCGGGCAGGAAACTCCAGCCTCTTCCGTGGGCAGCTCCTGCACCAGGGGCAAGGCTAGAGCAGCCGGAAGCCCCTCAGGGGGTGCCCTGGTGGGGGGGGGCAGCAGAGCCAGAGACCAGACACCTTCCCCCTTCCAGGACAGGGAGCCTTGGAGGCACCTTGGGGAGCGGGGGAGAGAGACAAGAGCGGGCTCGCGCAGCTCATCGAGTGGCCTCCTGGGCAGGCACACCTGGGGGCTGCATGACTGCAGGCCAGCCGCGGGGAGGCGCTGCTGCGGGCAGCGGCTGGTTCTCCACTGGCGGCGGCCACCACCCCCCACTGCTGCCGCCCTGTAATGGGTCTCCTCCTGGGTGGGGGGCCCCCCGGAGCACCCGTCCTGCCCCGCCCTGTCCCTTCAGGCCCTCCTCTTCCGGCAGGTCTCCCCGGAGAAGTGGCCGAGGGAGGCGTGAGGACCCAGGCAGAGTCACCAACTAGTCTGAGTAAAGAGATGTAGCAACAACAGTAGTTCAAAGACATGGCGGGGAAATGAGCGCCGTAAAGGTAGGTAAGCCAGCAGAATCATGAACCCTAATGACGCGCCCGACTCTTCTGCCCCTACGGCCTTCCCTGGGTGCCTCTGCTCTCAGACCGACCCCCCCCCCACACACACCCCTTTTGGACGAGGGGTCCCTCCTCCCCCTCCTCCTCCCCCTCCGGCAGCAGCCTCTCCCCAGCCCTGCTCCGGGGGGGGGAGCCCTCCCCCTCCCCGCCCCCTCTGGGCGAGGGCCTTTCGTGTCCCTCCTTCCCAGGCGGCGGCACCACCCTCCACTCCTCCGCTGGTGCCACTTTCCCCTCCGAATCCCCTGCTAGCCACTCACAGGGCCCACAGGGTCACCACTCTCGCAAAGGCTCCCCTGGGGCCACTAGGCCTCCCTAGAGCCTGTCGGCCGCCCCACCACTCTGGGCCCCAGATCGTGGCAGGAGCTTTCAATAGGGTTGCCAGGTCCCCCCGGGAGGTGGGGAAACCCCCGCTTGATCGCCCTGTTACCCGCCGGCCCGGGATCGGGCCGCTGGGGGGAACCCCACGCCCAAAATGCCAGCTTCGCAGCAACGTGCCGGCGTGATGATGTTACCCAGAGGTGCAGCCCAGGTAGGGCCTTGGCAGCCCTAGCTTTCAAGCTGTTCTGAAGCAGCCTCTGGGCTCCGGAGGAGGGCTCCCCCTCCCCTCAGTCCCTCTCCCCACCCAAAGGGTCCCACCACATGACAGAGGCGGGGTGAGCACCAGGCCCCTGCAACGGTGGCAGCACAGGCCCCTGCATGGAAGGCCACTCAATGAACAGCGGCTACAGGGACATGCAACCCTTTCCCCATCCTGGATCCTTCTGCGCAGTCCCACACGGGAGAATAGCAAGCTGGCCGGCCCGAGGAGGAGGAGGCCGGTGGGCTGATCAATGGAAAATTGCCTGTAACACCGCTTTCCCCAGGCAGCTTCACGTCTGGAGTCCAGTGGGCTTCATGAGCGTTGAGTCAGAGTGGACCACCTCGCTCGGCCTTGCAGGGAGCCCTCCAGGGCACGTCTGGCTCACAGGCCCCCCCCCACAGAGGCCGCCCCCCCCGCGGGCCAGGGCCGAGCGAGCCTTCAGGGACACGGCAGGAGACCTCCACGCCACTGGAGGCAGCTCCTGTCCTTCCCGAGTCTGGCAACGGGGGTGGGAAGGATACTGGGGGAGTGATGCCCTGGACTGAGGTGGATACCACTCTCGGCAGGAAACCCATGCTCGGTCTGGGCACTACTTTGTCCTGGTTGAACTTGATGGCCGGGGGGAGGGGGGGATCGCAATGTAGTGCTCTTGGCTCACTCACCCTCCCGGAGGAAGGGCTTGCTACTAGAATGGCAGTCTTGTACGAAACAAAAGACAAATCGACACTGGGCGTGGGTTCAGATGGTGTATGCATTCATTTAGCAAAGTCTAAAGATGCTGAGCGGCAGAACAGAAAGTCTGTAGTTCAGCAGTTCGAGGAGACCCCAGCACTGTGTGACGGAGTGAGCTCCCGTCTCTAGCCCCAGCCAACCCAGCAGTTCGAAAGGAAGACATTGCAAGTAGATAAATAGGTACCGCTTAAGTGGGAAGGTAACAGCGTTCCGTGCGCCTCGGTGTTTAGTCATGCCGGCCACATGACCATGGAGAAGTCTTCGGACAACACTGGCTCTTCAGCTTGGAAATGGAGATGAGCACCACCCCCTACAGTCGGATTCGACTGGCTTTCGAGCAAGGGAAGACAAGCTCCACTGTGGAACCGGTGGCACAACAGGTGGGAATATATTAAATAAACCTTTAAAGCGGAGAATATCAAGCGTCCTTTTACGAGGGGGCACTTGTGTTTTGGGGGTCACCTTGTGGCAGATACCAGTGGGGGGAATGTATAAAAAAGGTGTCCACACCTTTGCCACTGGCAGGCCTCTCCCGTCGAGTTCCTGCCCGTGGCTGCTCTGGAACAGAAATGAGGGCTTTTCTTGTTGTCCACAGATGCGAACAGGTCTACCTCTGGTGAAACCCCCCCCCCCCAAAATCTCTCAAAAATCAGGGACAGACAGTGGCCTGATGTAGACCACTTTTGTTCTGCGCTTGTGTCTCTGCTTAAACGGTCTGTTATTGTTCAGACTTACAGACTGGGAGGGGCTGAACAGCAAATTAACATGTGTAACATGGTGAAGATGCTTTAAGACATGCAGAGACATCTCTTAAAACACCATCGTGTTACGTGTTACGTGCTAACCTGCTGTTCAGCCCCAGTCCCTAAGTCTGAAAACACCCCCCCTGTTCCAACGTATCTGAAGGAGTGCGGCTGCACACGAGAGCTCAGACCTGGAGTCCACCTCCCTTGGGGTCTTAGAGGTGCCCCCGAGACTCTGGACTCTGAACCGGTTCTGCGGCTTCAGGCCACCACGGCTGCACCCCACCCCCCGGGTCCGTCCGTCACTGCGCTGTCATTGCGTGCCCGCCACGTGAGCAGCCGCCAGCAGTCCTCCGCCACGTAACCGTGGCTCCTCTGCACAGGCAGGGGGGGGGATCCTGGCACCACCCTGCTTGTTCAGGTGGAATTCTGATGGGATGCCGTCTGTCTCTACCAGGATGTGCCTTCCCCGGCCAACCTCTGCAAAAGAAGCGAGAGCAAGTTTGATGGCTCTCAGCTCCAATAAATTAATGTGAAGAGTGGATTATTTCTTAGTCCACGTCCCCTTCGCTTTTAATCCTTGACAGTGAGCCCCTCCCCCGCCTTTAAGTGATGTGTCCAGGAAAAGGCGGAAGTCGTGGGATTGGGTCCCCAGGGGGATTCCCTTAAGGACCACCTTAAGGATTCCCCTGTATGGAACACCAAATGAGACCCCATTTGGGATAATAAAGACCCCTGGGATAGGTGATTTCTTCCGGTGGGGATCTGAGTTCCTATTGAAGTTCCTTATGAACCAGCTTTACAATGGTCTCCTATGTAACTGGGCATGTGGGGCCACTGCCATGGCGGTGGTGGTTGTTGTTATTGTTCAGTCACACAGTCAGGTCTGCCTCTTCATGACCCCATGGACCACATCACACCAGGCCCTCCTGTCTTCTGCCTCCGGAGGTTGCTCAACTTCATGTTCGTTGCATCTATGACACTGTCTGACCATCTCATCCTTTGCCGTCCCCTTCTTCTTTGTCCTTCAATCTTTCCCAGCATCAGGGTCTTCTCCAGTGAGTGCTCCCTTCTCATTGGGTGGCCAAAGTATTTGAGCTTCAGCTTCAGGATCTGGCCTTCCAGGGAACAGTCAGGGTTGATTTCTTTTGGGACTGACTGAGTTGATCTCCTTGCAGGTTTCTCAGGAGACATGTGAGGTGGTCTGGTACTCCCATCTCTTTAAGGACTTGCCATAGTTTGTTATGAACCACACGGTCAAAGGCTTTAGCACAATCAATGAAGCAGAAGTAGATGTTTTTCTGGTGCTCCCTTGCTTTCTCTCTCTCTCTCTTTTTTTTAAAGTACCCGAGGGTACACTTTTATTATTATTTTTTCATTATATACTACAGACAACACCCACCTACCCCCAACAACATATAACATATAACAAGAAACTTTTATCACTTCTTCTGCTTATTAAATTTCTAAATTCATTATCTATTTTACTAAGCTTATATTTTCTGCGTTCTCAAATTACTACATTTATCTATCCGTTGCGTTTACATTATACCAGTCATAGAATCTCTTCCAAGTTTTTTGAAAAGTCCATTCTGTGCCGGCTCTCATCTCAAGTGTCAGTTTGTCATTTTCCGCCATTTCAAATAGTTTATTCACGTACTCTTGTTTCGTTGGTATTTCCATTATTTTCCAATATTTGGCATATACTATCCTTGCAGCTGTCGACATATGAACGATCAAATACCTATCTGCTTTATCAAAGTCTTTCGGAAATATATTCAATAACAGTATCTCTGGAGTAAACAGGATATTAGTTCTTGTTATTTTTTCCATTATCTCATGAATCCATCTCCAATACCTCTTTGTAACATCACATAGCCACCACATGTGATAAAAAGAGCCAATCTTATTTTTACATTTCCAGCATTTATCAGAACAGTTACTATTTTGTTTAGCTAATCTATCTGGTGTAATATACCATCCATAAAACATCTTATACATGTTCTCT